CTCTGCACTGCTCGAGTGATGTCCTGCCGGGCTGCCTCTCTCTCTTTGCGTGCGATGCGAGCCAACTCCTCCTGTATAATGGCCTGCTGCTGCTCATACCTGAACAAGCGCACACACACACACACACACACAGCTTTATTTACAAGCCTGTTGCCTAGCCATGATTCACTCACTGCAGTTCTCAATCCTACCACAGAGTGTCAGTGTTTTGTCCCTTGTTCTCAAGCTTGTTTCAACAGTATGATTCACACTTGAACAGCATCCAGGAAAAAATTAGTCCTCTTCTAATTTAAGGTCTCTTCCCTTGTGAGAGCTACAATGTTTAGTATTCATGTCATATTTTATCAATACATATAAGCATAATTGGGAAAAATGCCAGATAAATTGGTTGAAAATGTTGAAAATACACATTGAGTGATTCAGTAATCACTAGAAAGGTTCTTCAGAGCTAAAACTAAGGGTGTGTCATGTGGATCTGTGTTTAGGAATAATATTGGTGGCGTCTAACTGACTGGATCAGTTGACTCAGCTCAAAATGGCGCTGTGTTATGTGATTTTAATATATTGTTCAAAAGTCAAAGTCAAAGTCTGCTTTATTGTCGATTCTTCCACATGTACAGTACATACATACAGAGAATTGAAATTGCGTTACTCTCAGACCCTTGGTGCATACAGATAACACTAACAGTAGAGCATAAAAATTCAGTGCTTGAAAAAGAGTTCAGTGGTGCCTGGGGCAAAAGAGGGGAGGGGGGGCAAGGTCGGGAGGGAGTTCAGCTTCCTGACAGCCTGATGGATGAAGCTGTCCTTCAGTCTGCTGGTCCTGGCCTGGAGACTCCGCAGTCTCCTCCCTGATGGCAGCAGACTGAAGAAGCTGTGTGTCGGGTGGGTGGGATCACCTGCAATGCAGAGGGCTTTGCGGGTGAGACGGGTTCCGTAAATCCCGGATTTGTTGATGTATAAATAGTTTTTCAGTCCTAAATCCTATCTCTGAGTGCAATGCCAAATACTAAAGTAAAGCAGGAGTTTTATATACTAAAATTTAAGCTAATAAGGCAGCTATATGTTTTCATGAATAAGACCAATTTAAGATTTAAATCAGTATACTACACCAAAATTATAGTATTTGGGATATTATTTTGAAAATATTTAGTTTATTATTTTTTTTTAATTATTTGTATTATTTTATTATCTATACTATTTACTATCTATTTATAATCTTATTTACTTGTCTATTTTAATCTAATTTGTATAATTATTTTAAATAAAATGTATTATTGATTCATTTTAATCTAATTACATGTGTATTTATTTTAATACAAGTTTATTATTTATTTTATATAATTTTTTAATAAAAATTTAAAAATACCTATTAACTTATTTTTTATTATATATTAATTTTTACACTGTTTTTTTTTTCTAGTGACCTTTTCTAGTGACCTTTTCTAGTGACCTAGAGCACTCTTTTCTGGCCCCCTGAGGATCCTTGGACCCCAGTTTGAAAACCCTGGACTACAGTACCTCTTCCTGAGCTCCTCTTTAGTGTCAGGAAAAGTCGTCCTGGCCTGTGTTTTTGGAGATTGTGGGTCAGATGTGCTGGATGTTCGAGTCTGCTGGCCTGCAGGGTCAGAAAAATTTAAATGAGTATCCCTAACCTGCATTACAAATGAAATATCTCACTAATTGCAACTCACGCAATGGGCATGTAAACTGCAAACATTTTTGAAAATATTGTGTCATACCTAGGTTTTCTTTATTGTTGACAGGTGGTCTTGGATCAGTACTGGCATTCCTCATGCGCTGTAGGACGTCTTCAGACAGCTAAGGACAAAAAAGTGGAGAAGTTACACAGATGTCCTCAACGAGCTTATAAAGTTTTATAAGAGTGCTCATATTTCATACAATTCTTCCCACCATTAGGAAGCAGCAAATGCATGCTCGATATAACAAAAAATATGACACATAGAAAGGATAAAGCTTAATTATTCCTTCTGGAGCAGCCTTGCAGATTTGTAAACATGCAAACTATAATAAAGAAAAATAACTTGTTTCAGTCTACAGACTTAGTGTTTCTTCCAACGAATTGGTTGAATGATTTAATGACTCGCACTTAATAAAATTTTTTTTTTTTTTAAAGACTCATGTGTCCTCACCTACTGAACTAATGCATTAGCCACTGAACAAATCTTTTAGTGACCGAACTAAAAAAAAAAAAAAGATTCGAGTCACTCAAAGAATCAACTCTCCAGTCTGTAATCAACTCCCTAAAGAAGAGTACTACAAGATTACCACGCTGAACGTCCCGACACGACTATACACCTGCCCTTGGTTTTAATTACACTTCTGCACACCTTGAGGGGCACAGATTAGCAAGGTGCCAAAGCGGTTTGTCAAACCTCGAGGACTCGATGTCATTAACCAAAGCCCGTACGTCAATCATGTGTGGACTAAATTAGAGACGAAACATTTCTATATTCATGTTTTTGTGAAATGACAGACGTCTGAAACAACGTTGTCCCCTGTTTTCCCAAACTCGACACGTTCACTGAAGGACATTCGGGTAACTTGACGGCAGATTCACGCAACAAAGTCCCACGAAAACAGATATTATCGCATTGTAAACCCGTATGATTGGTAACGTTAGGTGGTAAATATGGGATGTTGGATTACCTTCACTCCACGCAGAATCCTCACCCTGTCATCCTCATCTAGGCCGAAAGAAACTCTCCTGGTCGTGCTTTCTCCGGATCCCATCGCTTTTTGGTACAGCTCCGTTAATGGATCTTTAATATAAGAGAGATATTTTTACTCTTTAATTGAAACGAACACAAAGCATTCCGTAAACGCGCCGATATGTTTGACAGATTTGCATTTTACCGTTGGGAAGTGGCAGTTTGTAAGGGGCAGTATCCTGAAACATTATTGGCCAACGACAGTGCAATAAGCCAATAGAATTTCATGATATATCGGCGACTGGAGTAAAGGCTTCTGGGAGTTGTAGTCAATAAGGCTAATTTTTTTACTAGCACGCAAGTTAGTCAGCGCTCATGCACTCAAATAACCTACTATATATATAAAAAAAAACTGAATAATCTCACTTCACTCAAAAAAAGCCTACTATAAGATTGGTTTGAAGTGTACTTTATATTAAAACGTCTTTGTTTATTTGGAGTGTTTTAAATTACGAACTGCAAGGTTTGTTATCTCTATCAACAAAAACATTAACGTTAATTGGGAAAACTAGAGGTCTAAAATTATCTAATAAATATTGAGTTCAATGACTGAGACTATGCTTCAGCTGTGAATCAAAATCACTTCCAAAAGCCCAGGTGGGAGTAATGTTTCTAGCAAGAGGTTAACAAATGTTTTAAGATAGGTATATCTCTTTTTTATTACCTCCAACTAAGTATTGTATACAAAGTGACAAGATAAACTTCTAATAACCTGGATAAACACAAAATAAAGTGTTTTACTTTGATTCTTGTTGTAATACAATGTCAACCGATAACAAATTAACCCCATGTTCTAGGCTAAATGAAAAATACATTTTATAGCAACTACATAGTCTCTCTTCACAACTCTATATAGAGGAAAATGCATTGTTTTTACATTTACATTTAGTCATTTAGCAGACGCTTTTATCCAAAGCGACTTACAAATCAAAATCAACAAAAGAGCAATGATACGCAAGTGCTATAACAAGTCTCAGTTAGCTTAACGTAGTACACATTTATATAACAAATAAAAAGAAAACAGATAGAACAGAAAAAGAATAGAGCAAGTTAGAGGCCTTTTTTGCTTTTGTTAATTGCATAATAAATAAAAAGAAAAGAAATAGAATACAAAAAGAGTTAGTATTTTATTAAAGAAAATAAGTTAGTAAATGAATAGAGTGCAAGTCTAAAAGGGGCATGTTTTTTTAAAGAATATAATTATAATAGAGAGTGCTAGAGTTAGAGGGTCAAATAAAGATGGAAGAGATGTGTTTTTAGCCGATTCTTGAAGATGATTAAGGATTCAGCAGCTCGGATTGGGTTGGGCAGGTCATTCCACCAGGAGGGAACATTTAATGTAAAAGTCCGTGAAAGAGATTTTGTGCCTCTTTGGAATGGTACAATAAAGCGATGTTAACTTGCAGAGGTGTGACGTGCATTATTTTCGGCTCATTAAAAATTAATCTTGCTGCCGCGTTCTTGATTAATTGTAAAGGTTTGATAGAACTGGCTGGAAGGCCTGCCAAGAGAGCATTGCAATAGTCCAGCCTGGACAGAACAAGAGCTTGAACAAGGAGTACCGAAAGAAAGGGCCTGATCTTCTTGATGTTGAATAAAGCAAATCTGCAGGACCGGGCAGTTTTAGCAATGTGGTCTGAGAAAGTCAGCTGATCATCAATCACAACTCCAAGGTTTCTGGCTGTTTTTGTAGGAGTTATGGTTGATGTGCCTAACTGGATGGTGAAATTGTGATGAAACGATGGGTTTGCTGGAACCACAAGCAGTTCTGTCTTGGCAAGGTAGATTTGAAGGTGACGGTGATGTGTTAATGATGTGAGTGAGTGCAGGTACAACTGCAGGAGAAATGGCTTGAAGGAGATGAGATGGAATAGGATCAAGCGGACAAGTAGTAGGATGATTAGAAAGGATGAGTTTGGAGACTTCTGCCTCGGAGAATGAAGAGGATGTGAACGAGTGTATAGCGAACGAGTGTAGTTTTTATCACAATATAAACTGCTTAAAAGTCCATTTTGTAGGCATATGAAATAAACAAACTTTCTAAATCACCTGCACAAGATAACTAATATTAATGTTGGCTGCTTGTAATCGGAGAGTTAATTTGCATTCCCAATTTTGTAACTTCAAATACAAGTGTGCAACTTATTCTATCTACTATAACTACCAGATGTGAGATATTATTAACCTTTTACATTTAACACCCATAAAACAATATTAACACTTTCAACAAATGCATGGCACAAAATATAATTCAGGCACCAGGCAATGTTCTCTTTCAGGTATTGATTTATTCTCAAATGCCATCATACTCCTCACACAAGGCATCATAATAAGCGAGTACTGTACATATAATAACATTCCCTGTTTTATAGACAAATCACAAGTAGTAATGTTTCAATGAAGGAAAAGATGGACGTGAATGAGAGGAAGCTGCATTTTTGACTGCTTTGACATTTGTGAAAATGTGAATAGTAAGTGCACAGTAATCAGTAATTACCTTTAAGTTATAGTGCAAATATTAATTGTAAGACAGGATATTGTAAGAGGTCTGTCTGTTATCCATAACTGATTTCCATTCAGAAAGTCCTAAAACTCCCACCTCTAATGTGGCACTGATGCAGAATAATCCCAGTACTAACTGTTATGACCATGCATGTATATGACCCTTTAATTGAACAGCAGAATTATAATACAATGCCTCAGGTAATTACACAGCCATAAAGGCATTTCAGTCTAATGGCTAATGTCTGTCACCATACATTTTTATTTGAAGATTTCAAAGATCCCTCTATAGGAAACTGATTTGAGAATGACGTGAGATAACATTATTTAACATGACACCATCATCACCATCGACAGCACCATAGTAGGACTGTCCCAGAGGAAATAAACGGAGGCAGGGACATGACAGTGTGACAGTTTCAGTGGACAATGATTGTGAATAGGGTACACAAAATAGAGGGCTTGTAAAGAACCATTATGATTGGCTGGGATTGAAGGAGGTCTAGGAGTCATTGACTGACATGTTCTCCACTTTGTTCTCTAGATCAGCATCACCACCCTGCTGTTTCTTCTTCTTCCCTCCTTCCTGCTGTTTCTTCTGCTTCTTGGCTGCCTCCTGGTCAATGGGGGCTGGCTTCACAAACTTGATCATTTCTGTTAAACCTGAGTAAAGAAACCATAATATTGAGATAGACAGTTGGTATATTGTATAAGAGAAAACATAATATACAAACACTGAATTACCTAAAGAGTCTATTCATAGCTCACATATCTTGAGATATATGACAACTACTACTACAGCATGACCAGTGTAGTCTGATATAGCAGAACAAATGAATCTTTTGAGCCAAGGAATGACTCTAATGAACTGGATCTTTATGGTGAATCAAAAACATACAGCACAGCCAGTGTGGTCTGATTACTGAAGAAATGAACCTTATGATTGGTTTGTTTTGGGTGAAACAAAAACATGCAGCACAAGTGTTGTCAGATTCGCAAATGAATGACTCTTATGAGCCGGTACTTTATAGTGAATCAAAAACATGCAGCATGACCAATGTCATCCAATTCCCAAATTAATGATTCTTATGAGTCGGGTCTTTTGAGCGAACCAAAAGCATGTAGTGTAGCCAGTGTGGTCTCATTCCTGAAGGACATATCTCTCTTATGTGTCAGTTCTTTTGAGCGAATGAAGAACTTGCAGCATGAAAAGTGTGGCCTATTTCCCAAAAGAATGCCTCTTATGAGCTGGTTCTTCATAGTAAATCAAAAAGTGTAATCTGATTCCCAAAGGAATTACTTTTATGAGTTGGTTCTTTTTTAGAAAATAGAACACAAAGCAGTGTTGCCTGATTCCTGAACTAATGATTCTTATGAATAACTTCTTTATAGCAAATCAAAAACATACAGCTCTAGCACCAGGAAGCATTCAGAAGAACCAGTATCGAAAGCGGAACCAGAATTGTTAAATACCTTGTGATTCTCAATATAATCTTTAACAAATATGCAACACCATCCATAGTTTTTTTCATACATTTAGTATAAGACTGAGCCAAACTTGACCAAAATCAAGATTAGTAGATCCATATTTAGTGATGCTCACCTGGAGGCATGAATGCCTTGAGAGGTTCTGGAATAATGATGCCTTCCTCTGTCTGAAAGTTCTCCAGGATAGCACAGATAACACGAGTGGTCGCACACATGGTGGCATTTAGCATGTGCACAAACTCAGCCTTTAAGAGAACAGACACAATGACCAATGAAACCAGCATTATACAGTAAATACAGATTACCCAGAATCCTTACTCAGAACTGTGGAGTAGCATTGTACCTCAGTGTTTCCCACAGACTTACACTCTATTTGTGGCGGCATTTATATGCAAATTCATTCTCTGCCAACAGGAGGCTCATTTAAGCCTCTTTCAGACTGTCAGCCCAAATCCGATTTTCTGCATATCCAGATGGAATCTGATTTGAATAACTGACTGTCCAGTGTCCACACAATGTATCGCAATGGTTCATATCAGATTTGTGTGTCCATACGTGCTCTTTCGTTTTACGGAATGTGCATTGGTTTCTATGGCAATGCCGTTGCGTTATGCCTACGCTAAAAACAACAATAACAGCAATACAGTTTGCAATACAGATGTTGTCTTACGACATGACAACATGCTGCCGTCACAGTTGCACTGCATTATATTTTGTCTTGTGAGGCAGCATCAGAAACTCAGGAAGTACGTGGCGTGAGGACATGAAAAAGCTACGCTAAATCCGATCCGAGCAGTCAGACTGAAACGGATTTCCAGAAATGCGATTTGAATAGGATTCCAAACCACATACGAATGTAGCTTGAAACAGATTTACACAAATCGGATTTCATGTAGTTTGTTGCCATTCAGACTATCTAAATATGATCAGATTTCAATCGGATTTGCACAAAATTTGCACAGATTTGGGCTGACAGTCTGAATGAGGCTTTAGAGCGGGAGAGATAGCGGTTTCCCCGGTAATGGTTGTACACAAAGCAGCACTCCGCTCACAAACACTGCTTTATCAGGCATTACATGCAAGATGAAATGAAAATGCCATCCAGAATTTTCTGAAGACAGTCGGTTTCCTTCAGAAATACAGTGATATAAAAACACTGGCATCGGGTTTCGATTTTGAAACTTGCAGTGCTCATGTTTATTCAATGAAGTTAAAGCCTTTTGGAAAATCTATTTGTGGCGGTCAGTTTTGATATTGTGGCGGGCCGCCACAAATAAATCAATGTATGGGAAACACTGTACCTTGTCCATCATTTTCTTGGTCTGCCCGTAGCGAATTCGTAAGCGGCGAGCCTGGTAGTCTGTGCAGTTTGAGCATGACACAAGTTCTCTAAAAGCCTGGGAGCCTGGGAACCAAGCCTCTAAATCCAGCTTTTTACTAGCCGCATGGTTCAAAGCACCTGTGAGATAAAAGCAAACAATATATTTGAAGCTTTGTTATGGGAAGCTGTGAAAAGCTTTTACTGCTTTCTAACAAAAGGACGCCCAATGGCACTCTCGATGAAAATAAAGGGTAAAGTGAACCAACCTGATACAATGTTGACAATGCGGTAGGGGATTCCCAATGACTGATAAAACTCTTCAGTAGTTCCAATCATCTCATCAAACATCTCCCAGGACTTCCCGTCATAAGGAGAGGCATAGACAAACTGCTCAATCTGGAAAGCAATGAAAAGAGGTTCTGATTTAGTTATTATACAGTTTGTTCTTCTCATTATTACGAGAAATTTCTTCAAATTCTTCACTATCTGCAAAATATGCTGATTTGGCTAGTAGTCTTGTATTTTTGTAATGAAATCAAGTCATCTAAATGGACATTAATATTTCATTGTTCATTCATTATTTCAGTGATAAAAATAGCTCGGACCTTCTCAAACTGATGGACCCTGAAGATCCCACGTGTGTCTCTGCCGTGAGAGCCCACTTCCTGTCTGAAGCAGGTGGAGATGCCGGCATAGCGGATGGGAAGGTCTTCTGGCTTCCGCCACTCATCTCTCAGGAAGGCGGCGATTGGCTGCTCCGATGTGGCAATCAAATACTTTTCATCCACTGTATTGTCATCAGACTTCTCGCTCCCCTTCCCGATCACCTGAACAAACACATTACAGGAAACGCTGTAATTCTTTGTGAGTTTGAATTAAGTCTTTTAATTTAAAGCAGCTGGCCATCTGTCTGATTCATCTCAATTAATCTGTTTGTTTGAACACTTTATTTCAATGTATCAGTTACAGGATTCCCACAACTTTATCTAACACACATATACAGCATAACAAAATTTACTTTGTAATATAATTAAAAT